AGTTCGTGTCAACCACTTCATATAATTTTCTTTGAAAATTCGGGAAAAAAATCGTTACAGAAATGAAATACTCCTAAAGATTTCGTTAAGATTTCGAGGACTTTGATTTGCATTAGTTTCAGTTTGATTTCATTCTCATGAACAAATGCTTTTTGTGTATATTTCAGAAATGGTTTGACGATTTCGGAAAAGAATTAGTTGGAACCAACAATGCTGCATAAAATTTGGATGGATAAGATATGTTCGTCGAATCTAGAATGCAAATGGGTAGAAGAAGCACATCAACCAACTGAATAGCAAACAAATTTAATAACCAAAAACTTATGACCTTTTTCCTAAACAATAAAGTAGGTTTAAAGAGCGTTTTTAAAATGACGGTTTCATAAATTTTTCAGTTTATAAATCTTTTTTGAAGCTACTTTATTTCGAATACCGAGTTCTGGATTTGATTAATACGAACCGACCGTTCTTTTTTTGTAATCAATAATTCCTTGTAATTAATCCAGTAATCCTGTTGTAATAAATTGTCTAAAAAATGCTTGAGCTTTTTTCATTAATTGATTTGCCTCTTGAGCAGGTTTATTTGTTAGCATAAAGGGAATACCCAAAGCTAGCAAGGGCGGTACAAATGGGGTTGTTGTGCATTCCGATCAGAGTTGTCTGCAGTCAGTCTGTTGAATGAAGGCAAATACTAAGCTAGAACTTCTGAGATTGAGTGCAACTTGGGTTTGTCCACCAGCAGGCCCCCGAAGCCTGCCAGTCATCGCTGGGGGAATTATTCGCCCAGTTTCTGATTGTGGCCTCGATGGCCGGCATTGGGAGTGCTACAATATAACATAAGTTCGATTTATTTTCCAGCGTACACATGTATATAATTTAGTCGAGACTCGCATTGGCGAACTAGTTTGGAAGTGTTTTGAAAGCTTGTCAATACCTTTAGTGCAGCTTGGCGGTTACTTACTTGGATTGCACGTTTACGAACAAAAATGGCGAGGAACTCAGGTGATGTCATTACCAATTATTCTTGACTAAGATCTGTGTACACCCGGAAGCTGAAAGTACTTAGGGTGATTATATTTTTCTAAACAAAATTTAAGTCAAAACAAAAGACTGCGAACTTTACACCAAACATTCCAGGAGTTCGGTGATTTTCAGTTCATCAGCCCTCTATTTATCTATTTTAAGTTTTTGAGCGTAGTAAGACATAAAGTATTTTCCAAAGGAAAGTTATACAGTTTTAGATATTATGTTGGCGACTTTCCAACCTCTTTTCGAGGTGGTTGTTTTGTGTTTAGTTGTTTCATTCGACAATGCAGCCTTGGAATATCCAAATCTAAATGGGCAAGAAAACAAATGTAGACTTTGGTATTTCCTTAAGCAAAAAAAAAAAAATTATACCACTGGATGAGGATAGGAAAAAGTTGGTTGTTTAAACTTTGTAGCAAATGAAGAAATGAAGAAAAGGGTATTCTCCAGAAAGTGAATCCTAGTCCAGCCCTTTGTAGTATATTTTTGTAGAAAGTTTCGAAGGATAATTTCTTTTTCAGTGGCGAAACTGGCCGAAATAATTTATATTAGAAAGTTGACATCATTTGCTAGGAACTTTCCTTCGGCAATGATCCTCACTAATCTGACAAGTGGTCCTATGAATGAATTCGACTTTTGACATATAAAACTCGGCAACTTCGCCTCTAGTTAAAAAATGCTGGAAGGAATACTTTTCAATCAAAAATTGTTGTACAGATGTGCATATCGGATCCCTAACCAATAAATGTTTAATTTTACAGGAAAAGCAAAAAAACATTATATAAAAAGTGTCAAGAACAGGTAGAATCTTTTAAGGAATAGCATGTAACTCCGTTGTTTTTGGTACTAAGAGCTTAAATTTTTTATGAATGTAAATTTTTAAAATGTACATCCTCCAAAACCCTTGAAAAACGCAATTTCGAAAAAAGTGTTAATTGGGGCCTTTGCGAATTATGGTACCGATATGTACATATGTATGCCCGAAGCACCCTTTAAATGATATTTCTATTTGCAGCACAACACGCCTTAATTTGCACTTTCAAGCAAAAATACAGTGACTCAAAATGTGCACATTCTATTTTTTTACATATTCAAAATGTTTTTCAAGTAATTTATTTTCCTTTTGTTTAAGTTTTTTTTATATTTATTTTTTAATGATAATCTCTGCGCGAAAAAATAAAAA